GATCACACACACGCACACGCACACATTTTATTTTGCAGTACCTGAGAAAAAGCCAGAAACTTTAATGAGACCACATGGTTCATCTTGAGCCGGAAAAACAAAACAAAATCAGGTAATCAAAAATCATAAATGTAGCGATTAGAAAAAAAATTAAACATAAAAGTGAAGTGAAACACAATCCAATGTAATAAAACTGTTGATAGCCGAAAATAAAGTAGCATAACAACATTACGTCATCAAATTGTGTTTGCGTGCGTGCGTGTGTTTGTGTGTGTGTGTGTGTTTGTTTGTGTGTGTGCGCGCGTGCCTGTGTGTTTGTTTGTTTGTGTGTGTGCGTGCGTGTGTGTGTGCGTGCGTGTGTGTGTGTGTGTGTGTGTGCGCGCGTGTGTGGTGCACGGGTGTGTGTCACACATCTACAAAAATTTGCATATCTGTCCATGGAAACTATTATTAAAGCAGTGATGGGTTATTCCATTCAACGTAGCAATGTTTAACCTTGATATCTTTTATGGCGAGGGATCTTAATCCCATTCAAGCTGCACAATAAACTAAACTAAAATGTAAAAGGAGAACTGGGAAATAAATTAAATGATGTCATTTTTGTAACGAACTAATATATGTCGAGTATTAAACTTTTCGTGACATACACATTCACATGCACACATTCACATGCACACATTCACATGCACATGCACACATTCACACACGCATACACATTCACCACACGCGCATACACATTCACACACGCATACACATTCACCACACACGCATACACATTCACACACGCATATACATTCACCACACACGCATACACATTCACCACACACGCATACACATTCACACACAGAAAGATGTTTACACACGTTGACTCATACACACACAAACTCCTCATTATACACACACGCACATATAGACACACATATATAAGTAGACACATATTGGAAAACATATATTAATATATTCACACTATGACCCGTGGTTGTATTCTTAATTTATTAATATTCCATTTTATGATCAGTCTTGGAAGGGGTTTCACCATTTGGACTCTCATCCCTTAAGATCTTCCACTCACAGCGTTGCTTTCATGCGATTTGCGGTTGCCACAAGCTTTCATTTAAAGGCAATCTTACGTCATACAATTTCATTCATTCATTCCTTCATATTCATTCATTCATTCATTCGTTCGTTCGTTCGTTCATTCATTCATTCATTCATCTGCATCGTAACCGTACTATTTCCATCTTCGCCATCCTGAGATAGTAGAGCGGTTGTTTCAACGACTCGTCCACTTTCCCCCAGATGGCCACCACACTTTCCTAGACGGCAACGTCTATCGTCGCGGTGCACAGTTAAATTTTTTCTTCAGCAAACATAACCACACCACACAGATACACACACACGCACACGCACACACACAATATATATACATACATATATATATATATATATATATATATATATATATATATATATATGTCTTTTTTATATATATATATATATATATATATATGTCTTTTATATATATATATATATATATATATATATATATATATATGTCTTTTTTTTATCGTGTCGATTTTATAGACTATATGGACTCAAGAATTGTTTGAGTAGATACTGTTTACTGATCTAAAATTTTGTCAATTTATATCACACGTTTACACAACTTGTCGGCTTGGATAACGCGTTTACTAAAACTTCAATTAAACTTTCGATCTGGTGATGATGGCTGGTAAAGGAAGATCTACGAAAAATTCTAATAGCGATGCTCTACGATGTGAAAAAGAATCAACAGATGTTCAGTGTGTTTGTTGTGGGATTTCGTTTGCTGTCGGCATGACTGAGGAATCGTTAGAACTATTGAAGGCATGTGATAACGTCAAATTTGTGTGTGATGAGTGCTTGAAGTCACCATCAATAAAGGATCAGATCATCAAAACAGTTGAGAGTGGAAAAGCTGAGATATGTGACAAGATAAACAGCTTAAGTAAAGAGATTAGATCAGAAATCGATGCAATCAAGG